GTGTGCGTGTGTGTGTGTGCGTGTTTGCGTGCGTGTGTGTGTGTGTGTGTGTGTGTCCCGCTGCCAGGGAGAAGGCAGAGTCTGCGCTTTTAACCCTTTGCTGGCTGCATCCTCTGTGGACTCAGCATTTGGAACACCCTGCCCAGGCACTAGTTGCCCAGAGGCACAGGGTCTGGGGCCATTTCAGGAGCTCCTCTGAGCTGGATCCTGTGTAGGACTAAGCCTTGTGTGCAGCGTTGGGGCTCCTGGCTACTCCACACCCATTGAGGGGAGACTCAGGCTACCAGAGGCCCCACCTGTGGGGACTCTGACCCTCCCGCGCAGCCCAGAGCTGCCCCTGGGCCTGCAGCCAGAGTTCTGAGCTGGGCACCCTCAGGGTCTCCGGGCCATGGTGGCAGCCCCACTGGTGGGGCAGAAGCGGGTTCTGTCCTAGTGCAGCAGTGGACTGACCACTGCCTTGTTACTGCCTCGTGGGGCTCTGGTGCTCGCCCTGGCCTGACCCGCTTTCTTGCCTGGTCCTGGTCACTCTGTGCCACTCTGGTAGTTGGAGTGGGAGGCTGTGGTGGTTTTTGCTCTGTGTGTTGGGTGAGAAGATGAGGGCGGTAGATGGAGTTAGAGGAGTCATGCCACTTGCTGATTGAAGGCTGGGCCTGGCATGAAGACAGGGTGGGCCCAGCATGTGGACTTGGAAGGAGATGGTCAGACTCAGGCATGCACCTGGCTCTGTGTGACTTGGAGCCATCACTTACCCTCTCTTTGTCTCAGCTTCCTCATTCAAATGGGCTGACCATACTGAGCTGATGACTTTGGTGTAGGATACATGGGACAAGTTAGGCACACAGGAAGTGTGAAGTATTCAGGGACTGACTTCCTCCCTGCCCTCCTGGACCCTCACGGCTGAATGGGAGACATGGGCAGGCAAACCAACAGTCATAGCACACCTCACTGTGATGCTGCCTTGCACCTGTGCCCATGCATGCCAGGCTCATCTAGTAGCCCTGCAGCAGCCCACACCTTGGGGGCACTTTCTCTGCAGGTTGCCTCCTGCCTTGTGAGGCGAGATTGGTATACTTGCATCACATGCTTGGCATGAACCCCTGATCCACCCTGTTCCCTCCTCTATCCTGGCAGGGAAACTGAGCTCAGACTGTCCTGGCATTACTGCTCTGGAGGGGAACCTATGTTTGTCCCCTGACACCACTGGCTTTCCCTAGTGATTAGCTCTTGCCAGCCTGGGGTGGTTTCAGCTGCCAGGAGACACCAAGCTCCGTTAGGGCCATGCCTGGTACGTGGTACCATGCTTGTTCCATGGCGCACGTGTGTGACTGCTACTTCTTATTTCTTATGCTTTCTGGACAAGGGGCATATGTAGTTGGAGGCATGATGGCAAGCTTCAAGTTATAGCTTTTTAGGTTTCTTTTTTTTTTTTTAATTGGGATGGGGTCTTGCTATGTTGCCCAGACTGGCCTTAAACCCCTGAGCTCAAGCTCCCCACCTTGGCCTCCTGAGTAACTGTGACTACATGTGTGTGCTACTGCACCTGGCAGTCACTTTTCAGAATGAAAAGAGCCTAGATCTCAACTCATTCTCCACTCGAGCAGAGTTGGAGCTCCCTAGTGGACGATCAGCATGGCATGTAGATTACAGCACCTGGGAAGTGTGAGTGACCCTGAAATCTGATTTTAGGTCTGCTATGAGCTGGCAGGGGCACTCTGATGAGGCACCCAGGAGTGTCTGCTCAGAGAAGCCCTTTGTGAAGCACAGGAACTGCAGACCAGCTCGAGTTATCTTGGAGGTTATGCTTGTCCGGCAGAGGCAGAAAGCTGGTGATATGGACCACAGTTTTCTCCCCTCTCAGATCACTGGATCAAAGTTTCTGTGCGGAAACTCTTAAATGAGAAGTCCACTTTGCATAGGAGTTATCGACTGAAGGTAAGTTGGAGCTTTCCTTAGCTTGTTACCATGACAACTAGTGACGTGCACCATGCAAAGTGGGTTTGGCCTTAACCCTCAGGGCTCGGTTCCGGGAGTGGGTTGAGGCAGCTGTGGGCCCTGTCGGCACTGTCTGCGGAATATGTATTTCCCAGGTGTGGCCGTGTCTCTCTTGCCACTGTCTGCTGAGCCCAGGCCTGGCCAACGCCTCTTTTCACCTGGGTTGCTGCAGTGGCTTCTGGTTGGTTCCCCACCTCTTCTTCCACGCAGCGCTGTCTCCAGAGCCAGAGGAATCATAAGTTGGAAACAGTCGTGTCACCGGTAGCTTTTCACTACGTGGGGAGCAGCCTCTCAAGTCCTTCCTTGGTCATCAGGGCATGTGGGTGACCCGGCCCCTGACTTGCAGGCTTGAGTCTTGTTTTCCACCGATCTCCTCCTCACACTCTGCTGTGGAAATGCAGCCTCCCTGGCTGGCCACAGAGCCCTGTCCCGCCTGGGCCTGAGTGCAGGCTGCACCTTCAGTTGCACGGCTCTTTGCCAGGCACCCATACTCCACTCTGCTTCCTTCAGGTCCCACCCAGCCACCCCAGGCAGCCCTGTGTCCACTGGCCTTCATCCCTGCACCCTGCAGTGCTAGCCACCCTCCAGCTTTTCTTGATCATCCACTGATTTCTCAGCCTATCCCCCCACAGGGTGGACAGTTCCTCGAAGACAGGGACTTTGTGCTCTGTGGTGTCTCCAGTGCCTGAAACATTGACTGGGGTGCGGTGAGCTCCCAGTGCATTTGTTGAACAGATGAATGAGACACTCAAAGCGGGCATGAGTTGGGTGGACCAGGCTCCTGGGTGCTCCCTTTAGAACAGGTTGCATCATTCAGGGCCTGTGATCCTCTCAGGAGGAGGCCAGCACTGGTCTCTCCTCCTCTCCTGCCTTCTGTGGGATCTCATCTCAGGCAGGGTTCTCCTCCAAGTTGCTCAGTGTCCAGGTCTCATTTGGTGCCTTGGATTCGTGCCTTCCTTGTGACAGACACTAGCTCAGAGCCTGCACATAGAAAGCACTGATCAATGTTGGATGAGCTGGTTCCACCACATCCTCTCTTGTCCCAGAGAGAAAATCTCTGGATCAGAAGGCCAAGCATCATCCCAGTCGTAGAGCAGAGCTGAAGCATCAGCCCCGTCTGCCCTTCTACCGTGTGCCACCCTTTTGTTGTCCACGTGGCAGTGGAGAACACATTCTCACTCACTCCATTCTCCTGTGAGCGTGCCACATCCTGACAAGCATGGGGGTGGTGGTGGGCTGGGGACAGTAGTGGGCCAGGGGCACAGACCTCTCCACAGCGAGTACTCTCTGTGGCTAGCTGGACCATGGCCTGGGTAGGCTCAGACCCATCTTTTCCACCCCCGTGGGAGAGTGATAGCAGTGTGGGCCTGACCTTGCCTGTCTGCCCACTTACAAGGTGTGAGTTCAAATGAAGGTAGACTTGAGTGCTTTTAAGCCTTGCAGTAACAGGTGATGGCCACCACTCCTGGCCATAGGACCTAACTGGGACTGCAGACACTATCACTCTGTGATCTCCGGGAGAAGGGCATCAGACTTACTGCTCTCCTGGTCCCCTCAGCCCCCAACACCTGCCCCCTTCTGGAGCGCTGTCCTTGGGCTGGACCTCTTGCTACTGTCGCTGTTTCCTCAGGCTCTCCATCCCAACTGGTGTCAGCAGGTCAAGTTTGTCCCCCAGCTGAAACTGGTGATCTCTTCCTCGGCCACTGAGAAGTCCTCTCTGGTGCTGACAATATTGTCATCCAAAGCCTCTGAGAAACCCAAGTGAGGAACCCCCCTCTCCAGACCTAGACCTTGCAGGTGGGAGTGAGGGGCGCCCCTCCTGAGAGAGACCCACTTCTGGATTAGCAGCGTCTCCAGAGAGCCTGCAGCATCTGACAGGTCTTGCCAGGACCAGGGAGGCAGTGCATATCCTATGGGCCAGCCAGGGTTTGCAATGGAGTATGGGCTGCAGAGTCTGGTTTTAGTCATCATTCCTGCATTCCCACCAGTGGCAATGAGACTGCAACAGGCTTTTTTTGTGTTGGAGTCTCACTCTGTCGCCCAGGCTGGAGTGCAGTGGCATGCTCACGGCCACTGAAGCCTTGACCTGCTAGGCTCAGGTGATCCTTTGCCTCAGCCTTCCAAGTACCTGGAACTACAGGTGCATACCACCACACCTGGCTACTTTTTTATTTATTGTAGAGATGGAGTCTTGCCCAGTTGCCCTGGACTCGGGCATCCTCTCGCCTCAGCCTCCCAAAGTACAAGCGTGAGCCACCACACCTGGCTGCAACAGGCTCTTTTATCCTGCGATTTATATGCAACACTTAGCAGAGAAGCCGGCTTGGCATGCAGCAAGCAGGCAGTCTCTGAGTGCAGGAATGAGTGCAAGTGACCTGTCTGTGAGCCTCAGTTTCCTCACTTGTAAACGGGGGTGATGACAACACATACTTCACTCCCCTCAAGGGTTACTTGCGCGAATGCTCTATGTGGCATGTGTTCAGTGGACTGGTGACACTTAGTCTTTAGAGATGGTTCCAGTCTGTTTCCTTCATTCTAGATTCCTCTACCCCAGGGTGAGTGTTTTAATTTTCTTTTGAAAAATCAGGTATTAGTCACACATGTATATGTGAAGTGTATCGTCCATGTGAAACATGAATGCTTCGTGCATGAGGCTGGAGTCTAGGCCCTTGGCTCCCACCCCTTGCCCTGCTGTCAGAGACCCCCACTTCTGCAATTTTGGTGTGTCTTTCCAGCACGCAACCCATAAGGGGTGCTTTCTCTGAGGAGCGTTCCAGCGGGGCCTCTCCCCTGCAGCTTCCCTCCCTTCCTGGGGAGGCTCCTGGCTCAAGCCCTTGGCTCTGGGACACTTGGCTCCTCTGCAGACCGACTCGTGAGTCTTCTGGGGTGAATGGTGAGAATTGAGGCCTGTGTTGGGGAGCAGCTGGAGGAGACCGAGGGCCATCTGGGCCTTGTCCCTGTTTGTCCCTTTCTGTCCTGGCTCGCTGCCAAGAATAACTCAATCCTGAGATGCTGAGGCTAGTTCAGTCCAGCTCCTCATTTTACAGGTGGGAAACCTGAGGCTGAGGGAGAGGCGTGAGTGTCTAGGAGCAGACACTTGTGCTGGGGTGTGACCCTGGGCTCATGGGACGTCCAGTGCCTTTTGAAGGGGTCCGTGCTCTGTGTACACTCCTGGAGCTCACTGTGGGGGAGGAGGGCCTCTGAGAACATCTGATGCCAGGGGTTGGGGGAGTTTCAGTGGTGGCTTCAGTGCCTTGGGTGGGGCCGTGGGGCAGGAGTATGCTGGGAGCTGGCTTGTGAGGCCACTCTCTGCGTTGTGGTGGTGTTACCTTGTGCACAGGACACCTGTTTTCTTCAGATCTTGTCTTACTGGGTCCAATGGCAGGAGGACGCCGGGATTGCTTCACCAGGGCCGGAAGAGCTCCATGGGCTAGACTGCCACCTCCCTGGCCTCTTTGCCTCTTCCCTGCTCTAATGGCCTCCTTGAGGGCCTGTGTACTGCTCCGCTCTACTTGGCATGCTCTTGCTTTTTTTTTTTTTTTGAGTTGGAGTCTCACTCTGTTGCCCAGACGGGAGTGCAGTGGCCGCTCCTGGCCACCACAGCCTCGACCTGCTGGGCTCCGGCGATCCTTCCGCTCAGCCTTCCAAGTAGCTGGAACTACAGGCGCGCGCTACCAAACCCGGCTAATTTTTTATTTATTGTAGAGATGAGGTCTCGCCAAGTTGCCCAGGTGGGTCTCGAACCCACGGGCTCAAGCAATCCACTCACCTCGGCCTCCCAAAGCGCTGGGATTACAGTCTGAGCCACCAAGCCTGGCTGCTCTTGCTTTTTTAAATGAACATTTTCATTATGAAAATTTCAAACACATACAAAAATAGAAAAAATAGACAAAATGATTCTATTTTAAAATAGAAAAACAATAAAAAATACAAATGATTATTTAGGCCATCTAGCGCCAGTCCAAATGACTATTTCCCCAGGTGTCTCAGAATATTGTCTTATAGTTACTGGAATCAGATATAAGTAAGGTCTGGGATGGTTTTGTGCAGAAGGCCAGTATGAGCCAACATATCATAAGTAGTGTGTATGTGGGCAGGAAGGGGGTGGGGGACAGCAAGAGGAGGCCACTGCAGTAACTCGGGCTGCACAGACTGGTGGCCCCGAGTTGGCCTGGAGAGTGAGGTGGAGGAATTGGATATGTATTTTTGCAGCCAGTTGGAGAACACACGCATGCACACACACACGCACGCACACGTGCATATATGTGCACACATGCACACACATGCACGCACACTCCTACACATGCATACACGCATGCACACGGATGCCCAACCACACGCACACACGCACTCACACACCCTTCCTTCTTGTCTGAGTGTAGTACAGGACAAAGGCCGGCAGGTGGCACCATCGACTGCCTGCTGATGTCCTGTTTTGGAGATGCCATCTAGGGCTTGGCCTCTGCAGATAGGGCTTGTCCTCTCCAGCCCAAATCTGTCCCTGGAGTCGGCCCCAGCCTCCAAGGCAGTGGCCCAAGGGCTGGCTTCCTGTGGCTGGCCCCACCTGAGTCTGGTGGTTAGAGCCAGGACCTGATCTGATGTGGGAGTGGGTGCATATTGTGTGAACTGACCCAGGTCAGCTCCCCCATGGCCCCTTCTCTCCTGTCTGTCCCTACTGCCTCGTTGGAGTCACTGTCATCTCCTGCCTGAACGCTTGTAGTAGTCTTCCTTCCAGTCACTGTCCTTGTACATCAGCTACCTCCTGGTCCCATCTGTCCAGGCCCTGGCTGGAGCCTTTGGTGGCTCCCAGCTGGGGCAGTGTGGTCAGGCCCACCAGGCTCCCCCACGTCTTCTCATGCCCTTCCCTCTGCCCCCCACCCCTGCCACTCCAGCCTTGTGCCCTTGCAGCCGTGCCCATGCCCTGAGCTCTGCCCACAGCCGGTTCCTGCTCATCCTCAGGCCTCAGCTTCCCTGTACCCTCCTCAGAGAGGCTGGCAAAGCGAGCCTCCATCCTCCGGCCTCCGTCACAGGTCCCTCCCTGTCGTTTCCCTCAGGACTGCCATGATCTGTTCAGCATCCGCCTCCCTGCCTCTCTGTCCATGGCCTTGCTTGTGCTGCTTCCCTCCGGGAGGAACGCTCCTGATGACGGGGCTTCACATCAAAGCCTCTGGCCCTCTGGTGGGAGCAGGGTCTGGTAAACCTCTGTTGAGTGAGTGAGTGGATCAGCCCGGGACGTTTTGTGACAGTTCTTCCGGAATATCTTTCTGCACGTACAAGCGTGGAAGAAGGCATTCTGATTTGACAACAGATGAAATACCTGTGCTTGGCCATGCTCTTGAGGCTTTGACTTTTAGAGGAATTCCTGTGACTGTGGAGTGGAGGTGAAGGGACTCACAGAGGTTGATCCAGTGGCCTGGGTCACTGGAGACTGTAGGTGTTGTGGGTCGGGGGAAAGACTCGGGGCCTGGCTGGATGATGGAAAGGCGGCCATTATGCATCCGGGATGACACCCAGGAACTGATGTGGGTCCCCAGAGGGAGGTGGAGGAGCCAGGGCAGGGCATGTGTGTTAGAGGGTTTTTGCTTTGTTTTGTTTGTTTTTGTTTTTACTTTTTAGAGACAGGATTCATTCTGTTGCCCAGGCTGGAGTGCAGTGGCACAATTATAATTCACTGTAGCCTTGAACTCCCGGGTTCAAGTAGCTGGGATTGCAGGTGTACACCACCACACCTGGCTAGTTTTTTTGTTTTTCATAGAGACTAGATCTTACTATGTTGCCCCGGCTGGTCTTGAACTTCTGGCCTCAAGCAATCCTTCCTCCTTGGCCTTGCAAAGTGCTGGGATTACAGATGTGAGCCACCGTTTGCGGCCTGAGTTGAATTTTGAAGGGAGAGCTACGTGGAAGGAGCTGGCAGGGCAGGATGCTGTGAATGAGAGGAAACAGCACAGGGGAGGCACAGGGTGTCCAGGGCTCTGGGCCTGTGAGGTCCGCTGGACCCTGACCTTCTTCTCCTGTCTGGGTCGCCCTGGCCCTCTGAGCCCCACCCGCTCTGCGAAGCCTCTTCCTGTCCTGGGTGATTGGTTGCTTAGTCTTCTACCGAGTCCGGTTGGATCTAAATCTTGACCCCTGTAGGGGAGAAGTAATGTTATTTCTTCACCCGCCGTAGGGTTCATAACTGAGCCCCAGTAGCAGAAGAAACAATAACAAGAGAAAAGCATAGCTCATCTGTTTAATATGTTTTATGTGACATGGGAACCTTCAGAAAAGACCTGGAGAGATGGGAAAGCTGTGTGCTTTATGCTCAGTCTGGTGAGCGTGGGTAGCTCTGTAGAAGAACGGTTACACAAGGGGGTGACCTGAGTCCCAGGGGCCCAGGGAGGCCTATGTGTGCAGACTCTTCTGTGTCCCATCTTCAGAGATCGGGATGCTCCTTCCCCCAGGGTGGGTGCCTGTGGGCCTGCGTCAGGGGAGAAGGGCCAGGCAAGGGGCGAGTGTCCTTCCTGTTTCTGTTGTTCTGCCAGACGCCATGTTTCTGGGAAGTGTGTCCTGAACCCTGGAGACCCCACCGCTCACTCGCTGTGCGGCTCGGAGACGCCTTAACCTCTTCTGGTGTCTTCATCCCTGGTACAGCAGGGTTGGTGCCACTCCTCTGCGTCACGTGAGGGCTGGGTGACCGGGAGATAGCACCCAGCACCTGGGCCACCGTGTAGCCAGGCATGGTGCCCAGGAGCCTCCTTCCCCTCCCGCCTCGGAGCCCGTTTTCTTGGTTCATGTCATGAATGGAAGGATGCCTGTCCCAGCACAGTTGGTGTGAACCAAGTCGGGTCCTCCCTTGGCATGAGGCCAGGTGGCCTCTGATCGTAAGGAGTCGCACCTCCCTGCTAGCTGTGGGCTCAGGGCTGAGACCAGACTGCTGCTTTGCCTGTGGAGCTGAGCCCTGCATTGGCTTCAGGTGGAGCCCTGGGCAGTTTCTGGGGCCACTCCTGTCCTGGGAAGGGGCGTGACTAGCCCTGTAGCCCTTCCCCTTCGATGTTGTAGGTGGTCAGTGCTGAATTTAAGAAAAGGGATTCTGTGCTTTGATTACTGCCCGGACAAGAGCTTCCTGGGTAAGTCATCTTCAAGTCACTCGGAAGCTGCTAGTCCGGCAAAGCTGGGGTGAGGGCTGTGGGAGATAGGGACCACCAGAGCCAGGAGCAGGCCTGCAGCACCAGCCTCACTGGCCTCCACTCCTGCCCAGCTTGCCTGCTCACAGGCACAGAGGTGTGGGATGGGTGGGGGCCAGGGTAGGAGGGAAGAGTCATGGTGGATGGTGGTGAGCCCTCATCTGGCAAGCCTGCTGGGTCTGATCCTGGCCCTGGAGAGAAGTCCCCATGGAGGCCCCAGCTGGCTGACACTGTGTCTTCACCCCAGTGACTGGTGGCTATGACTCCCTCATCCGCCTGTGGAACCCTTTCCTCTCAAAAAGTCCCGTGTGGCTGATGAAGGGACATCAGACCTCAGTGTCACACATCCTCGCTCATAGCAAGAACAGCAGCATTCTCTTCAGCCTCTCCAAGGACAAGGTGCCACCTCATGGGCTTGTCCCCATCCCCTCCCCCCAGTTCTGCTCCTGGGGATCCCGAGCCAGCTCAGCCAGCCCCGGGGAACAGCATTTGGGGGAGCCTGAGGCGTGGCATGGCCTCCCTGCCAGGGGTCCCACGCCCAGTCACAGGCCTGGCAGGAGGGTCCCCAGGTGGAACGGAGGTGGACGCAGCCCTGGGTCTTTGGCAGTTCTCCAGAGCTGGTTCCCCTGGAGCCGGCTTGGCGTCTTACTCTGGGATCCTGACAAGTCCCTTCCCCTTTCTGAGCCTCAGTTTTCTCATCCATGGACTGCGCTGTCGAATGGCTTAGGGTAGAGCGGGCAGTGAGGCAGCAGTTCTCCCTCCGGAGATCCAGCACAGAGGAGCTGTGCGCGATGTGCCCGTCGTGACCCTGTCCTCTCCCCTCCCCCAGCCTGTACCTCTTCACCCCACTCTTGGCCCCTCCTGGTCTGCCCGGCCACTGGGGCTGCATCTGACCCTTCTCATATACCTGGGCTTCCCCCTCAGGATGCACCACTCTGCTCTCTGCAGCTGTCAGTTCAGGGTCCCGCCTCATTGCTGAACTGCCCAGGGTGTGGGCTGTGGGCCAGCAGTGCTGATGCCCTCCTTCAGGCGGCTCAGTAGTTGGAGAAATGTCAGGGCCCCTAGGGTCCCCAGGCCACCTTTGCCAACACATCCTCATACACGCTATGGTCTGGACCTCTCCCAGCAGCCTGGGAGCTGGGGTCATCCCCTCAGATGCAAGGTCTGAGCCCGGAGAGATGGGGGTG